AGAACAATCCAAACCCAAAGTTAGCAGATGGAAATAAATCATTAAGATCAGAGCAGAAGTTAACAAAATAGAAACCCCAAAATTGATACAAAATATCAATGAATCAAAAAGTTGGTTTTTTGAAAAGATAAATGAAATCAAAAAACCATTAGGAAGGCTAACTAAAAAAAAGAAGAGAGAAAACTCAAATAACAAAAATTGGAAATGAAAACGGTGATATTACAGCTGATACCTGAGAAATAAAAGAAATCATTAGAGACTAGTATAAACAACTATATGCCAACAAATTTGAAAATCTGGAGTAAATGGATAAATTTCTGGACACACACAAACTACCAAAACTGAGCCAAGAAGATGTAGAAAATCTGAACAGACCAATAACAATAAAAGAGATTGAAGCTGTTACCAGAAGGCTCCCAACAAAGAAAGCCCAGGAACACCAGGGTTCATTTCAGAATTCTACCAAACCTTCTAAGAAGAATTGATACCAATTCTCCACAAACTATTTCAAAAGATTGAAACAGAGACCATTCTCCAAAACTCATTCTAGGAAGCAAACGTCACCCTTATACCAAAAACAGATAAAGATACAACAACAACAAAAAAGAAAACTACAGGCCTATATTTTTGATGAATATAGATACAAAAATCCTCAATAAAATACTAGGTAATAGAATACAGCAACACATACACAAAAGTATACACCGTGATCAAATGGGATTCATCCCAGTGATGCAAGGTTGGCTCAACATACACAAATCAATAAATGTGATACACTACATCAATGAAAACAAACAATTTATCTGATTTCTAAGGATGGAGTCAGTCATGCAATGTTAAATCTTTCTATAATGGGCTGTCCAAGGCAGAAGGGAATGGATGGCCTTGGGAATCTGTGCTCTTTAGGTTCAAAAGCCACCAGAAACTGCAGGAGTCACCATGCAAAGAAGTGAATGGGTGAGCTCAGCAGGTGCAACGCTACCCTCCTGCAGCTGCCAAAGCTGATGCAGTGGATAGGAGATAGTGTCAATCCCTGCCTGATTCCTCAGTCTGTTTACCATTAGGTGCTAAGAGGAGAGACAAGTTTCATTAATATTACCTACCACAATATTAAGAAAAATAGTTCTTTGGTGAAAACAGAGTGGAATAAAGTCCTACTCTTATACCTAATCTGTGATCATCAAGACAAGCCCCATTATTTCTTGGTAGAGTCATCAATTCCTTCTTTTCCACAGCATGACATTAGAAAATGCAACCTAACCAATTTCATTACTTTTTTCCCCCATGAAAATACAATGGTTATTTACATTATTTCTAATTTTAATAATGTTACATGCTCTAGCTTCTAGTGGAATAGAAAAGCTTGAAGCATAGCAAGTAGAACTTCTAGATAAATACAGAATTCATGTGTTAGAAGGCACTGCAAAGCTGTTAAGAAAAAAAAAACTGGTGTCAAGATTTCAGAGATGGGAGAAGACAGAGAGGTAAGCTAACACCTACAGTCAATTTTCAACTGTGTTCATATCATGTCCAATGCTGAATCAGCGCAGGAAGTGTCATATAATTATTACTGCCTATGAGAGGGTAGTAAACTCCTTATGGAAGAACATAAACATCATCTGAAACTGCATTTTTTTCATATATAATATCTGGCATTTAGGTATTTATCCAAAAGTTATTATGCATTTAGGATACAACTAAGTGTCCACAAGCAGAAGAGTGAAAGGAGGGTAAGGTAATGGAAGCAGGCACACATTAAGGAACATTTCTCACCCAATTTTGTGAGGCCAGCATTACCTTAGCAGAAATATGTCAAGAAAATTTTGCAGGAGCAGAAAACTTTCAGGAAAATTTTGAGGAAGAAAAATCACAGACTGAGGAGGCTTCCAGTCAAGATGGTGGAATAGATGGTCCCCAACATCACCCTCTCCATCAAATCAACGAATTTACAACTATTAAAAGCCAACAACAGCCAAACTTGGGCCACTAGAGCTCAAGGGAAGAGGAGGAGAGATCTATGGAGCTCATGAAGGCAGGAGAAGCTGCAATGAGAGATAGAAAGGACCACTCTGACTATTTTGAGCCCTGGCTGCTTCAAGCCTAGAGCTGCTGAGCACACAGAACAAGAGGTGGCAAATGCTACAACTGTGCACTTTGTATGATGATACTTGGAGGTGGCAAAGGAGAAAAGGGCCTTGGTGGCCCCCAGGCCAGTAAGACCACTAACAGTGTTCCTGTGGACCAACATAGGAACAAGGGTCCACGGACAACAGAAAAAAGGATCTGCTCAGAGGACAGTGAGTCATTTTAAGGGACTGGCAAATGGACTATTCTATGGGGAGAGTTTGGTGTTGGGAGGGATGGGCCCACTGGGGGAACATTGGGGCACATTATGGACAGGTTATTTGCCCTCCAATCAGCAGAGGTCCACTAAGTGTAGACTGGTTAGGAATACAGAATTGCAGGGGGTGCAGTTTGCTGAAGAGACTCAAACCCAGACCAGAGTTTCCACACAGTCCAGGTTTACTTTAACTCAGAATACATGAAATAATTGCAAGGTCAACAATTAAAACCTGAGCTGCACAAAAAGCCTTCCCCAGGATATTAGCAGCAAACCAACTTAGGTCAACTACAAGGCTCAAGTGCAGGTCCCCACAGGAAGCTCATCCATGTTAGAAGTAAGCAAAAAACAACAAATTAGTTACAGTGTGGAGTTTAAGTGGTGGGAACAGTGAATAATCCAACACAGAACTGAGAGAAAAAACAAAATACCCAGGGATCAGAGACAAAGTCTGATATTAACTAGTAAAGGTCTAACACCACCAAAGAACCTGAAGAACACCTATAAAACCTAGAAGGATGGGAAGGCCTCTGGGCTCCCAAGCCAGGGAGAGGGGAGGGCCATTGGCCTCAGACACAACCCCCCAACAACCATAGCCAGTCCAGTGATGATCACCAGGTTGCTACCAGAAGCACCCTGGGCTCCCAAACTGGGGAAGTGTTGGGCAGAGGGCCTCAGCCATGGCCCCCCGATGTCCACAACCAGTCCAGTGACAACCACTGAGCCACCACAGGAAGCACAACTGGCTCCAGAGCCTGCAGGCAGCTGATGACCTTAGCCACACCTCCCTAACATCTGCAACCAGCCCAGTGAAAACCAGCAAGCCACCACCAAAAATCCCTTGGTCACCCCTGACAGAATGAGGAGGGTGCCATGGGCCTCCACCAAGCCTCCCCTCCTTCCTACTCCTCCCATCCTATTTCCTTCCCCTTTCTCTGCCCTCCCCCTAATTGCTCTGCAACATCATTTTAGAATGTAAGAAAATAAAAATGTTAATAAATAAATAAATTTAAAAAAAAGAAAAATCACAGACTGAAATCTCTAATAAGTACAAAGAAGCCCTAAATAATATGGAGCAAATCATATCCAGCTGTGTGAGTACTTATAATATGTACACTTAGTGAGGAATGTGAAGCCATCACATACAATCATACCAATATATGAAGAGAATCAATATGAAAAAATTAGACACTCTTTCAAGACAATAATTTATATAAAAATAAGAGAAAATGATATATTTCTGTAATCTCATGGAGGGTTAGAAATCTTGATTCTCATTTGATTTTAGAAAAGGGTTGTTAGGTAAATACATATATGGGCAAAAGCCCTCAGGTAGGGGGCCAGAACCCACAGATAGCATGGCAACAGCCCATCTAATCAACTCTAATCACTGCTTAGGTATCTGATTGTATACTTTAATGATTTTAGAGCTATCACTGGTTGTCATACCCATCCTTTTAAGAGAGTTTAAGAATTGCTGAAGGGAAAGTTGCAAAAAATTGTTTGCTAGGGGCAAGCTGTCTGTTGGGGGAAACTTTAGAGATAATTGTACTTAGATTTTATCATAAGAATGTAACTTTTGCTTAAGGAGAGGTTATACTTTAAATAATGAGCCAGTTTGAAAAACTTAACTTTTCACAAATTGTACTTTGGAATATCACATTGTTAATTTTACTGATGTTACTAGTTTCATCATTTAAATTATACTTAGCCATAGATAACTTTTGTAACACTGCTCATGTCCTTCTGTTCTTTTGTAATGATTGAATCAACTGAATTTTCTTGTGGAACTTCCTTGTCTTTACAATAAAATAGAGAAGCTAACTTTGAATCCTGGCTGTACCCAGTTTTCTTTCTTCTAACAGGGGAGATGCTGGGGTACAGACCCGTCGTCCTTCTCAATGCATTCATGGTGCTTTGAGTAATTCTTTCTTCATTTCTTTTACACAGTGAGAAGTGTAACATAATCTGATAAAGAATAACTGCCAAAATGTACTTAAAAATAACATTCCCAGTAGTGAGATATTAAAACTCCACCCACTATCACCAGTCTCTTCAATGCCATCCTGGTAATCCTGGCCAGTGCAATATTGCAATAAAGAAAAAATAAAGACACAAGAATTGGAAAATGATATAAAAAAATATTCACTCAGCAGGATAATGTACGTAGAAATTCCAAAGTAATCTACAGACAAAACAGTAGTAATTATTAGTAAATTTAGTGTGGTTGTTAGGTATATGTTCATCTGTATAATAAAAACTATTATATTTATATATTCCAGGTACAAAAAAATGTAAGGGCCACAAACCTAACGAAAGATTTACAAGCCATGTCACTGAAAACACAACATTACACCCCAGTGTTTGGGGAACTTGACAAACTGATACTGTTCATTAATATTTACTTGAAAATAAAAACACGTAAGAGGACCCAAACAATCCTAAAGAAACAGAACAAATTTGAAAGATACACTGCCAGATACCAAGATCTGTTACGAAGCTTTAGAGCCCCAAAATGTAAACAGCATAAAGTCCATCAAGCTACCACACGTATGAGTTTTGCTCTTCTGTCATCTGGTGTTGGTAGAGGACTGGAACCATACTGTGAATTTGGGAACTTCAAAAACACTAAGGTACAGTGTGCAAAAAACAATATTACCTTAGGGATGAGGTAGTTTCTGAATTTAACCTCACATGTCACTGCATGGGGCAGGTTGGTGGGAAGGAGGTTAATGTATCTCTGGATCTCATGCACCACGGCATCTGTGTAGGGCATGCAGCTCCTGTCCTGCATGCAGGGACTCCGGTGTCTGCCAACCACATGGCCAATCTCTTCCTGGACTTTAGCTGAAAAGACACAAGGAAGAACTGATGGAAAAGGAGAAAAATGGCACATTTGTGGTAGCAATTCAGGATTACATGAAGTATTATGAAGGTGTTCCAACAGCATTATAAACATAAATTATAGGGGCAGATTGCTAAAATACAATGATATAATTGTTCCATAAATTCAATCTGAACATACATATATAAGCATATACATTAGTAATGCAAATAGAAATGATAAATTGTTTGAAAATATTATGTTAGCATATATTTAAGTCAAGAAAATACAGTCCTGCAGAAAGAAAAACAGGAATCAGATATTAATTTTATTTCAAAACAATTACATGGTGCTTAAAAAATTAAATTCAGGATGGCTGGTTAGCTCAGTTGGATAGAGTGGGGTGTTAACACCAAGGTCCAGGGTCTGATCTCTGTACCAACCATCTGCCAAAGAAAAAAAAGTTAAAAAGAATTAAATCATGCTAAAGGACCTAGTTGTAATGTATGTATCTGTGCATGTTTATGTGTAAGTGTGTGTCTGTGTGTGCGTGCAGTTAACTATGGTACTGTCTTCGAACCCCCACTTCCCAGATGTGGCCATTTTGAGCATTCTAGTAGCTTCTTCAAAAAATTAGATTCATATTTCTAAATAACAACTCAAAATAAATAAATAACAACTCTATTTCTCACTTATCCATTTTCTATACAATTTAATCATTTTCTCGTATGAGAGATGAGAATTCTAATCTCCATCTCCACCTCATATTTGGACTCACACCCACACACAGACACATAAACACAAGTTTCCTTGCTCTATTTTCTAGAATATATTTAGGACACAATTTAAGATATATCAAAATTTACAGGGCCGGCCCGGTGGCGCACTGCTACAGTGCCCCACTTGGGAGTGCGGTGGCGCTCCCGCCGAGGGTTCGGATCCCACATACAGCCTGGTTCCCGGTCACTGGCTGAGCGAGGTACGGGCGCGGCGCCGAGGGTTGCGATCCGTTGCCAGACACGAAAAAAGACAAAAAGGAAAAAAAAAAAAAAAAGATTTATAGTACACATGATTCTGACTATAGAAATATGTTTAGGCCACAATTTAGGATATATCAATATTTACAGTACACGTGATTATGACTATAGAAATATCGTTCCCTGGTAAGACCACTGAGATAACATTTATTTTTGGCATTTTCTTGGACTTAATCATGTCTCTTTATTTCTATTCATAATTTTCTGTTTTCTGAGTTAGAATTATTTCCAAACACTCATGTAGATGTTTGAAATGCCCAGTAACAATTTCCTAATTACTGAGAAACCTCATAAAATCCATCACTCCTCTTCTGTTCTTGGGGTCTGCCCTCACACCTGCATCGTCCACCTGGTCCTTTCTGAGGTGGCTGTTTTCTAGGCCTGGTGACCAGCAGCCTCCCTGACATTCTCATTCTCCTACATGCCTCCCTGACATTCGCATCCTCCTACATGAGGCCTGCTGATCCCTGGAGCCCATGACTTCCTCTGACTTGGTTTCAGACATTTTGAGGGAGCATATCCTCCAATATTCTTCTGAAAAAGGAAAACTAGGGGGTAATGTTTTTGGCAAATGTGCAGGTTGGAAGATACCCTTTGTCCATGAATAAACGAGCTAATAGTTACTCTTGAGAATTCATGATACTGTTATAAATCCTAATCCTTTATATATGATCTGGTAGCTCTCTGAAAATTTTTATGATTTTCTTTTTAATACTGGTGTTCTGAAAATTCATAACCCTGTACGTTGGCAAGGATATTTTTATTTCATTCATTGTGCTGGACAAATAGAGAGAATTTTCGATTTAGATGGAAAAATACAAAGATCTTTTCTCTAGAGCTGTGCACTCTCTGAAGGGTATGTCTGGCTGCTGCATTTCCCGAAGCAAGATGGAAAATAGTGCTAAGAGTCTCTGACTTTCAGAAGAGGATTCTTATGAAACTTTCTTTTCCAGCCTCACATCTCACNTGGGACACAATAATCAACTACATTGTATATTGACAAAATAAAAATAATAAAAAAAAAGAAATTTGAATAGGAAAAAAAATAAAAATAAAATAAAACTAAAAACAAAAAATTTAAACTATAAAACTTCTTAAAAAAAAAAAAAAAGAATTATTTCCAAATACTCATATAGATGTTTGAAATGCCCAGTAACAATTTCCTAATTACTGAGAAACCTCATAAAATCCATCACTTCTCTTCTGTTCTTGGGGTCTGCCCTCACACCTGCATTGTCCACCTGGTCCTTTCTGAGGTGGGTGTTTTCTAGGCCTTGTGCCCAGCAGCCTCCCTGACATTTTCATTCCCCTACATGAGGCCTGCTGATCCCTGGAGCCCATGACTTCCTCTGACTTGGTTTCAGACATTTGGATGGAGCACATCCTCCAGTATTCTTCTGAAAAAAGAAAACTAGGTGGTAATGTTTTTGTCAAATGCACAGATCTGAAAATAACCTTTGTCCGTGAATAAACAAGTGAATAGTTACTCTTGAGAATTCTGATGTTGATATATATATCTTAATCCTTTATATATGATCTGGTAGCTCACTGAAAGTTTTTATGAATTTTTTTAATCTGAAAATAACCTTTGTCCGTGAATAAACAAGTGAATAGTTACTCTTGAGAATTCTGATGCTGATATATATATCTTAATCCTTTATATATGATCTGGTAGCTCACTGAAAGTTTTTATGAATTTTTTTTAAATTCCTGGTGTTCCAAAATTTTATAACCCTGTATCTTGGGGAGGATATTTTTATTTCATTCACTGTGCTGAATAGTTGGAGAGAATTTTCTATTTAGATTTTATTTTAAAAATGCAAAGGTCTTTTCTCTAGATCTGTTCACTCTCTGGAGGATATATCTGGCTGCTGAATTTCAGGAAGCAATTTGGAGGAAAGAGCTAAGAGTCTTTGAATTCAAGGACGAGATTCTTCCCAAACCTTCTTTTCCAGCCCCACACCTCACTCTTTTCTCTGTCACTGCCACTGTCCCTGAGTATAGGGATTCTTAGGCTCAGTTTCTCTAGAAAGTGAAGCTCCTTTTTCCTTGGGTGGAAATCATTTACCTGATAAAAGGAGTTGTGCAGGGAACATGGGCAGGGGGAGCCTCCTTTTTCAGCTTTATTCTCTACCTTCTCTGACACTTGCTACTTCCAAATACAGAACCTTGTAGGATTTTTAGGGACACAGATAGGCTTTTCTTCCGTGATATAGCTTCCTCTTCTGACAATTAGGTTACAACATCATCCAGTTTGCTAAGTTAGTGGTCACCCTCCAATCTGCTCTCTGTGCTTCAGAAATATGCTGAAGAATTCTTGGCTGTTTCCTGCACTTCTTTCCTCCAACTTTCAAAGGACTAATCCTCATTTGTAATTCAGTTATTGCTATTTCAGTGGGATTCTGACATGGGGCAGAGGCAAAGAGCATGCTTTTTATCTGCTGAAAGATGGGAACTATTTAAAGGTAAATTTCTAAAGTAAAATTCTCTGTGAAAGATACAATTATTGACAGCTTTGCCCCAAAAAATTCTTATTGTGAATACACTACTTTTATTACAAAAGACTTCTGAAATATTAAAATTTCTTTAGGTATATCTTCTGCCTAAACAGAAAAACCTTGCTTATGAATCTAAATTTTATATTTCTTCCCAGGTTGGAAATTATCTCAGGCAGCATCACTAAATTTCTAGAGTTTCCGTTTATGCTTCAGTAAGCAGAGTTACCCTTTTACCTACAAGGACACCGAATTTGTAGAATGAGGAAAGGTATTTGCAAGGAGGTATCTACTGTTAAAGGTGGCCTTTTTTTAATAAATCCAATATGCAATCCAGGCCAATCTATGCTGCCTCTGCCTGCCATGAATCATCCAGACATGGCACCAGAGCTTTATTGCTTTTCCTACTGTCATGCTGTCTTCACTCCTCTCAGTCACCCTCCTGTATTCTGCAAAGATGCCCCATTTTAATTACATCTTTAAATTAGACAGATTACAGCTGGTAGCACAGAAGTTTAATAATGAAGCCTCTCTAAGAGAAACAATGTGGAGGACACTAGCAGTGTCTTCCCAACATCTTTGCTCAAATTCACTGTCCTCATCAGCTATGGTCTTACCTGTGACCTCCGGGTACTTCAGTAGGAGCAGGAGTCCATATCTCACGGTGGTGCTTGTTGTCTCTGTCCCAGCTCCAAACAAATCAGATACACTGCATACCAAATCTTCAATAGTAAATTCAGAATGTTGATTGTGTTTTTCCTAGGAATGATTTGATCCAATTATCTGACTAATTATTTACAAACACATTTAACTACACAGAATCTCAAACAACTCACATTGCTGTAAAGTTAGCCAACAGAGAAATTGGAAAGTGTGGTATTAGAAAAACTACTGCATGGTATAGCACAGACTATGGATCAACTGACTTGAACTTCATTTCTCACCCCATTACTCTTTGCTTGCCCAAAAATTCCATTCATGAGACTCTTTGTAGCTAGCTGAGACAGGCAGCATATTACTTTTTCCCAAATGTATAAGTAGAATCCTGTTGGTGCTCCTTTTCTATTTTCTCACTCTCACTTAAAACACTGATGTGAAGGAGGAGGTAAAGTAGACATCATCTTGGGATGTGAGGATTTAACCAAAGAAATGAGGCCTACATACTAAATATGGTGAATAAAAATGGAAGGCACTTGACTCTCTGATGCTTCAGGGCTAATATATTATCTGTACACTGGCCCACCATGATAAACCCAGCATTTTTAAAAACCATTGCTAACCAGATTTTCTCTTACTTGGAAATCAACACAATCTTAATTAATAGAAATAGGTAAATTAGGGTCACAGCATAAAGATGTTATAAACCTGAAATAACGCTGTGAATTCTCTTCTTCTGTCAAAAATTTACGTGGATTCAATATTGCCTGCAGACTCATTACAAAATTGAAATTGTGCAAAAGCTAAAATGGCAGCAAAATCTAGAATGAATTATAGGAAAAGAAATTGGGGTCACTAAGACAAGATGGGGCCAGCATTATTGTAGTCCAGGTGGGAGAAAGTGGGCAACTTGGTATAGGGAACAAATGCAGGAATGAATAAAATATACAAATTAAAGAGACATTACACCATGAAGACAGAGTTTGAGGCACTAACTGCCCATAAGGGATAAAGGAAATTGCAGGAGTAATGTAGATATTTAGGCTGAGTGACTAATGAATGGAGTTTCCATGAATAGGAATTTGGGTGAGAGAAAGCAATTGACAAGGATAAGTAAGTTTGGTTTAGAACTGAAAAGATGATATGACACAGAAGTGATAACAAGGGGGAAATTTTAAATAAAGACTACAGAGGATCCTTAATATCCAAAAAGTTTTATTTTCTAACCAGTCCATAGGCCAGCACTAAATTAATAATGCTCTTATAGCCTACAGGTAATGTATGGCATGTCTAATATTATTTAATCAGCACCATGAAGTTTAACTAACCCCTCTCAATACATTCCCTTGCAAGACAACGAAAGTCATCTTCCTTTTAATGTTGTTCTCACACAAAATTCTAAGTTCATCAAGTACAAATTACTCTTAAGTCAGAAGAGAAGTGGTGCACTCACAAATCAATAATAATATTTCCATCTGTTGAAGGGAATTTGGAGATTTAGTGTTTACATGCACATGACCTATCATAATTAAACAAGACTATATATATTAATGTTGAAAGAAATAAAATAAAACCTAAATAAATGGAAAGATATTTAATGCCACAGATTGAAATCCTAATGTTGTTATGACGGCATTATGAGAGTAATGTCACAAAAATGGTAAATCAGGAAGTTCAGCAATGAGTTCCTCCACAAAACCAATTGCACAATCTGTATGAAGAAATTATTTGGGGACTCTGGAGTCTAATCAAACTCTTGCAGCATCTAAGGAATATTTGATGAAGAAAGAGGTAAATTTCAGTAAATTAGACATCTTGTATAGAGGCTAACATTCCTCATAACTTATCTCTGTGGTGGGAAGTGTATTTGGGGAGATAGTGTACTATGTTGCTGAGCAGATTGCTGATGCTAAGCTGGGCATTAGAAACATTTTACTTCAAGTGGGTAATGGGACCCAAATAGCAATAATAGTGTATATCATTGAATATAATATTATTCTGATGTGAGCATCACATATTGCACATGAGTATTGATGTTCAATTCTGTACCCCACAGATATGTGCAATAAACTTTCTTACAATAATTTTTTTAAAAAATCACAATCCAAAAAAAAAAAAAAAAAAAAAAAGGAAAAAAAAAAAAAAAAAAAAAAAGGAAAAAAAAAAAAAAAAAAAAAAAGGAAAAAAAAAAAAAAAAAAAAAAAGGAAAAAAAAAAAAAAAAAAAAAAAGGAAAAAAAAAAAAAAAAAAAAAAAGGAAAAAGAAAAAGAAAAAAAGAAACATTTTTTTCCTTCAAAAATCAGCATTGTGTCTTTTGATTGCTGATGGGCTGACACAATCCGCATGGGCTAAAGCAACTTCCCCAGTGTCACTGGATTTGGGAATTTAAAGAAAGAGAATAAATTCTTTTCTGTTATTGCCTTATCGCATCCAGGAACTTAAGGAAATTTCTGTCAGGTCACTGACTGACTGCAGACATAGCAGAAAAAAGATTCAAGTGATCATACATAACAAGAGATACAGTATTTGCAAAAATAGTTTGGAAAAGTCACTAAATAAATTGATGACTGGAGCCTTCATCAAAGAACAGAAGTAATTGCTGCAAGTGAAAAAAAAAAACCACCTTATATTCAGAGTTGACATATTACAATATATTAAATTTTGAGTTCTTAAAAAAGTACAGGACTACCAAACAAAGCAAAGAAACAAACAAACAAAAATCCCCCAGTACTATGGCCTATTAACAGCTATAAAAGAAGAATTTGGCAGAAACCATCTCTAAGGAAGCCCAGAAATTTGACTTAGAAGATAAAACGTTTAGCAAATATCTTAAATATCCTCTGAGAATTGAAGGAAACCATGTACAGAGAACTAAATATATTGGGAGAATAATGAATTAAAAATTTGCGGAAATTAATAATGAGAAATAAATTATCAGAAGGAACCAAAAAGACATTCTAGAGCTAAAAATACAAAGCTGAAAAAAAAATTACTAAAGAGTTTCAACAGCGACTGAAGCAAACAAGAAACTAATAGAAAACGTAATAATAGCACAACAGAAATTACCCAGTTTCTATAGCAGAAAGGAAAAGAAACAGAAAATAAACAAAGCCTAAATAACCTATCAAATTCCATCAAGTGTACCAACCTACACCTTACTGAAGCACTAGAGAGAGTCGAGTCAGAAAAACAGATGAAAAATATTAGAAGAAATAATGGCTAAACACTTTCCAGATTTGATAAAAAATATGAATGTATACATATTCAAGCTCAATAAATTCCAAGGAGGATAAAACCAAAGAGACTCATACAAAAGCATATTTTAACTAAAGTGTTGAAAACCAGAGATAAAGGGAGAATGTTGAATGCAGCAAGAGAGAAGTTACTCATCATGTACAAAGGATCCTCAATAAACGTAACAGCTGATTTTTCATCAGAAACCATGAAAGCCAGAAATCAGTGGAAGAATATATTTAAAGTGCTTACAGAAAAAGCCTGAAAACTAAAAATTCTATTTCTTGCAAAGATTTAAACAATAAAGGAAAAATTAAGACATTTCAAGATTTTTTTAAAAAGCTAACACAGTTCCTCACTAGTAGAGCTCCCCTACAAAAATGCTAACGGGACTCAGCTTTCAGGCTGATGAAAAAAAAGCTACTAAACAATAAATCAAAGTGAGAATAATATGTAAATATCTTGAGTAATTATGTGGGGAAATATAAAAGCTATTATTACTATATATTTGTATGTAACCCTCTTTTTGGTTTCTGTATGGTTTACAACAATAATTATAAATCTATGTTAAAAATGTATGACACACAATGTATAAATACGTAATTTGAAACAACACCACAAAGAAGGAATGGAGTTGTATAAGATCAGAGTTAATGTATACAATTTGAAACTAATTTGGTATCAATTTGTTAGAAGTTCATATCAGTATGTTATTCCCTATTATTATTGAAATGTAATTGATTGTATATATCTTTGGGGTACAGCATTGAATATCAATATCAATGTGCAATGTGTGATGCTCAAATCAGGATAATTAGCATATTCAACATAAGACAGTGTAGTCATTTTTTGTGGTCTTTACCAATTTCTCACTAACCTCCCTCTCCCTTCCCATTTCCCAGATCTGCTGGCCTTGGTTCAGTTCTCTCATTTTGAAAGTTCAATGAAATATTGTGATTGTTGTATCTTTCTTTTTTTATTGATTTGTTTATTTTTCAGCTCCTTCTTGTGATGGAGGACAAGTGGTATTTCTCTTTCTGTGCCTGAATTATTTTATTTAACATAATTATCTCAAAGTTCATCTCTGTTGGTTCAAATGATAGAATTTCACTCTTTTTACAGCAGAGTAGTATCCCATTTTGTATATCTACCACCTTTTCCTTACCCAGTCATAAGTCAATGGACATTTAGGTATGTTCCAACTCTTGGCTATTGTAAATAGATTTGCAATAAACATAGGAGTGCCGGTATCCCTTTAACATGATGATTTCCATCAAACCAGTATGTTGTAAGATATATAAGATGTTAACAACAATCCACATGGTAACTGTTAAGAAAAAAATATTTAAAATATACAGAGATAGAAATCAAAATTGAATCAAAACATTTCATTAGAAAAAAATGATTAAGCAAAAAATAAGGCAATACTGGAGGAATTGGTGAGCAAAAAAAGATGTAAGGCATATAAAAATAGCATTATGGCAGAACTAATTTTTTAATATGGCTAATTAACTGTAAGTAAAATGAACTTTCCATTTCAAATGCAGATATAGAAAGAATGGATTTAAAAGAAAAACATTAAAAGAAAAACTGCAAGAGACTCACGTTATACCCAAAGACACATATATGTTGAAAGTGAAAGAATAGAAAACAACTTCCCATGGAGATTGTAGACAAAGAGAGCTGGGATGGCTATACTAATACTGCACAAGATAGATTTTTAGCAAAAGTTTTTAAAAGAAGCAAATAAGAATATTATATATATGAAAAAATGTGAATTCATCAAGTATATAAACTGTTATAATGTATGTGCATCACTCAAAGAACCCGAAAATTTATAAAGCAGACATTGACAGAATTAAAGGAGCA